GCCATAATCATCAGTATTAAAACAATTAAAGACCTGAAATATTTCAGTTGGTGTGTAATGAATCTGAAATATATGAAAGTTTCATTTTTATCATTACATTATAGAAAATAATGACCTTTATCACAATATGCTAATTTTTTGAGAAGGACCTGTATGATGTATAAAATGTTTTTAACACAAAGCTTCACATGGCATCATTTATAATTAAACAAGTTTTTACTTTAATGTTTTGAACAGGGATGACCCCTGTTGAAAAATATATGTAGTTAGCCTGGTGCTCTCATCAGTATAGTGGTAAGGTTCCTCCTTTATCAGTGCCTCAAGATATTTATTATTTTGTACTACATGCATATTATAAAAATATTATAGACTCTCATTGATCAACTCCAGTAAAGGCTCTAATTAAATCTTAAGTGCAGAATAAAAAGTGGTGGGAACAACTGAGCGCATTTTACCAGTGATGATGTGGTCACGAGTAAAACAAACACACCCTTAGACTGTTTTATCATTGTCATATCATCAGCTGGATGAGAAAATCTTAAAAGCTTTTCTCGACAATCCAAAAGCAAACGGCAGAAATCCCAGAGGAGATCTCATATAAGCTCACACTAGAACAAACTCCAGCTCGGAGGGAAGGACTTGAACTGAACCACACGACATTTTACACCAACAGCTCAACTGAATGCAGAGATGATGAATGTACCAAGTACAGTCTTGAAGCAATGAGCATTTTACCAGAAAACAGGATGAGAGGCTGAAAACAAGGATCCTGCTTGTGAACTGAAAAAAGTTTATTACTGTCCCCATCACGGAGCGAAGGGGGGTGGGGGTGGAAATACCCTCTATCTGTTCGTCCATACGTCCGTGTTGCGAGCATCATAACTTGAAAATAAAATCCACTTCCATTTTGGTGCGTGGCTTCATCTAGGTGTGAGAATGTTTCCTTTCAAAACTTGGGTTGCAACGTCAAAATCCAATATGGCTGCCACCATATGTGTATATATGGATACCTTGTGAGCTGAACAACTTGAAAGTAAGCAACACGTTGACTTCAGTGTTGGTGTGTGGCTGCATTTAGGTGTAAGAAAGTCATAATCAAAAACTGAGTTGTCGTAATCCAAGATGGCCACCACCATATATTAATGTAAACCGGCCACCCCTATCTTTTGTGGAAACTATGCTTTCTAGTTTTCATGTTGCTTTAAAGTATAGTTTCCTCAAATGACTGAGGTGCCCAAAGATTAATCTACGATGGCCACGGCCACCATTGGCCACCCCCTGGCTCCATCGTTGTGCAGAGTATGGCTGCTGATTTCTCCACATAGAGGTGGATTCAATTTCTCCCTCCACGCATCAGGATCCATCACTCTGCGCCGCCTTGGACAAGAAAATAAATCCAACCTCTCTTCTCGGTGCAACTCCTACCCACTTGAATATCTTGCTCCAAAGACATGAAGGTTTACTGAACTTCTGTTAAATACCAGTACAAAACCACACTCGCCTCAACAACAGCAAACATTAATTACTCAAATCCCTCGGCAGTGGGGGAGGTTAATGTACGTCTGGTTATTGTTGATATTATTCCACTTTTCACTAAGCACGTCCCACTGAGATCACAGGTCTTGTAAGGGAAATGGCTTGAAGGCAGCCTAGACATCGGATGAAGATGGTTCTGCAACAAGAAGCAGTGGTGCCAGAGCTTCTTGCACAGATGAAATAAAGACATTGCTCATAATCTTAGTACAACAGTAAAAGTGCTTAAATGACAACAAAAAAGTGACTTTCTTTCTTTTCCCCAGGGTAAAGTTTTTGAGAAGACCACTGTGAAGGTGAAGCAACAGAAAAGATGTGAGAACAAGAAGATGAAATATATCTCCATCGGCGTCGGGGTGGTCGCAGGAATCATCATCTTGGCCGTCATAATTTATTTCAGTCTTTGATGGCCTTTGAAAACCGAAGCTTTGACGCGTGAAAGGGAAGAGGCACTGCAGGACAAGACACAAACCAAGGTCCCGGAGAAGACGAACTGTCCCTGGGGGGGTCCAGCAGTTCATCTGAGCTGCTCAGACATCAGTATTTATCTGACATATTTATGGGAGGATGGTTCCTGGTTTGTACTGGTTTAAATATTCAGGTGACATGGTACCATTTGTTGTTCGTCTGCACCCCCTTTTAATTCTTTTCACAGCCTCTTCATAATTAAAGGAGGCGACCTGTTGGATGGTGTTTAAAGTTTTCACCAGCCCTCCCTGTTGGATCTCAAGAAGCTTTATTTAAACTAAATGCAGTAGGTCCACTGGCACAACCGCTTCTTGTACAGGAACCAGTTACAAATGTAATCAGACATCATCCGACTTCTGCTGAGTTCAAGAATTTATTCAAAGAATAAAGACAAAACCTTTGCCACATCTTTTCTAAGTTTCGAAGCTTCAAATTGGTAAGAAAAAGAGGTTTTGTCATTTTTTTTTTGTTTGTATCGGATTATAGCTTGTTTTTAATGTTTGTCTTGGAGTAACTTATTTGGATATCTGCTTTTCTGGTTTTAGTGTCCTTTTTTTAAAAAACAAAATTACATCGTCCTAAAATACAGCAACTCCTGACAAAACATGGGATCATCGCTCTTGGAGGATATTCTTTCAATTGTTTATATTTTGTTTGAAAAACTCAGACATGCCACAAAATCATTTTTCTAAATTCCAAACTTTAGGTGTTAAGAAACAACTAAAAAATAAAGAAAAGATTATTGTTGTTGGTAACAGTTTTCTTTTTATATTAAATAGAGGAAAGAAGATGGAAGTGATCTAATCTGAGTAATTGTGGAATCTGTTATTTGCTGTTCTAAAATTTATCGCTGCATCAGATTAAATCTGTTCATTTATTTTGACATAAAAAAGAGGCTCATACCTTGGAGAGCACAAAGTGGATTCAAATTAATCATGGCTCCAACATCCTGGATGTTCTTTGAATCAAAGAAGAGGCAAATTAAACTTTATCAAGAAGGTAAATCATGAAATGTGGCAGAAATATGTTGCTTATTCTCAGTCGGCTGTGTCTAAAATCAAACAAAATTAAGTTGTAAAAGGGAAGCACGTGGATGGACCAGAAAAACATTAATGTAAACTGTAAGGAATAGTGCAAAAGAAACTGAATATATATATTTATACAGAAAAGTCACGCCAAAGTCATTAACACAAACAGAAATTTCAGAAGCTGACTGCCTGAAGAAAACACTTAAGTTATTTCCAGTCACTGAAGAAATGAACCTCCATGTGGGGTACAGACACAGGGCAGGTGCAGTCATCACATCTTTAACTAATGACAAAGTCTACATTTTGATTTTGGACACTTCACATTTTTCAAAAAATGTTTGCTGATGACTTCATTTCTCAAGATATTGATGCATCTTGTCTTAAGACGCAGGACGTTTCCTTCAAGAAACACATTTAATGGCATGGCTTGAAAATAGTCCAGATCTCAGTCCAGTCAACGACAAGACTTCAACCTGCAACCCTGATCTGGGAACAATAAGAGACGGATGGAGCCAGAATGATGATGTCATTAATCAGGTCCATGCTATAAAGAAGTGATGCTGTTAGAAAAGCAAGAGGTGATCTAATGTGGTAGTGTTCTTCTCAAGAGTTTATGTTTTTCTCTACTTGGTTAAAAAAAAAAAAAAAGTAATTGTGACTGACTATTATAACAGAGATATATATATATAGGTATATACACACACATATTTTTTTTTTATTGTTTCCTAATACAAAAAGGTTGGAATTTTAAAAAATTTTGGTTTTGTAGATTTTTGTCGGGATGAGGAAAAGATTCATTCATTCAAATGATAAATAGGACCCCAGGTGGCCAATATGTATGTAGCTTGTGGTACAGTCAAGAAGGAGAAGCCTCGAGAATAAACGTAATTTTCTCCACCACACCACAGTGCACTCTCATCTAGTGGAACAACATAAGGGTAGATGCACCCAGAGCGGAGACTGAGCAATACTGGAGAAGCAGGAATCACACACTCATAAGATGGCCACACACCCATGGCTACAAGATTTAAGACCTGAACACAGTATTCTCCCAGAACAAGAACCAGTACACAGTACAGTGGCAGACATCTAGCCAGTCTCAGAACTGAAGAGCTGGACTGCACCCAGGCCTGACATGATCCACACCTACTGGCTAAAGAACAGATTGCTTTCCATGAACTAGCAGCAAAGATAAACCAGTTCCTAATGGAAGGGATCCACCAAGAGTGGATGACCCAAGGCCGGACAGTCCTGATCATGAAAGACCCTCAGGAAGACACCAAAACCTGTGCACTGACTGAATTTACAATCAGAACGCCCATGACTCAATGACTAATGAATCCCAGAGTGCTTGAAACTGTTGGCCAACAGGACTCTTAAGAGCCGTTATCAAGAACTCAGTGGAAATGTGGAAGACAACTCTAGAGGCCAATTCAAAGCCAAGTGTACAAGTTAGCATCAAGTGTGACATTAACCAACGAGAGCGGCTGTCCCCACAGCTGTTTTGGGCCGGAACCCTCTCAGACAGATCATCCCAAAGAGAGGCTAAATATATTAGTTCCAGTACAGAACGATCTTCACTTCTTCTACATGGATGACATCAAGCTGTATGCCAAAACTGAACAAGTCCAATCAGATTTATTTACAGTATTTTTCAGACTATAAGGTGCACTTAAAATCCTTTAATTTTCTCAAATATCAACAGTGAGCGTTATAATCCAATGCACTTTATGTATTAATTCTGGTTGTGCTTATTGACCTTGAATTGATTTTATGTGTTTATTGTGAGTGAGCTGAATAAAGTTTGACTTGTCCGAATGTTTTGTTTTGCTTAATGCACCTTATAATCCGAAAAATATGGTATAGAGCACATTTAAAACAAACTATTACCAAAGTGCTTAACAAAGAGATCACAGCATCTAATAAAAATTAAGAAGATATAATTAATTAATTATGACATGATGAGGCCGCAACAAAGACGGCGTCAACCACGTACAATAAACCAGGTCCTGTCCTGAAGAGTTAACTGAATGACATGAACAAAGTACGAGCCTTCAACACGTATGCAGTGCCAGTCATCAGAGACCCAGCAGCTGTAACAGCCTGACCAAAGGAGGAGACGGAAGCAAACCACTGACTTCACGACTCAAAAGCTCCTCACAATGAATGCAGGTTCACCCCAACTCCAGCACCCTGACATTAGATCCTTGTATACTGTTTCTTTTTATACTTTATATTTTTGCTATTTTGGGTGTAACTGGGAACTTGGGTACACAATTTCATTCCACCCCATACCACATGTGATGCAAATGAGAATGAAGCTTGAAGAAAAAGAAGGGAGACAGAGGACTAGTGAGTGTCTGAGACACTATACAGGATGAAACAGCTAAGATCCTGGAGAGCATCAGGAGGAAATCCCCCATTGATGAACTGATGGGTGAGTGTCTCAGGTAGCCTACCATGCCATACCGTTTCATTTATAGAGCACTTTAAAACAGCAACAAGGCCAACCAAAGTGCTGTACAGACAGAACAACAGGTAACGCACAAAGCAAAATACAAAATGAAGTAAATCAGAATATAGACATAAAAACGATGCAGATAATGACGACAAACCAGTGTGGAGCATACAGGTTCAAAACACAGATCATCTGGTGTTGAAAGCTACTGAATAGTAGTGAGTTTTTAAATGGGATTTGAAAACCGAGAGGGAGGGGGCCTGTCTGACAAGCAGAGGTAACTCGTTCCAAAGTCTTGGTCCTGCTACAGAGAAGGCCCTGTCACCTCTGCGCTTAAGACGAGTTCCTGGAACTGTGAGGAGCAACTGGTCCACTGACCTCAGGGAACGTGGAGGGACATACGGTTGTAGCAAATCAGAGAGATGGGGGGCGACACTGTTCAGTGATTTGTAGACATACATGAGTATTTTGAACTGGATTCGAAGGTGAACCGGTAACCAGTGCAGTGAGGCCAAAACTGGTGTAATGTGCTCTCTTTTGCCTGTACTGGTTAAAAATCGGGCTGCTGCATTCTGGACCAGTTGTAGTCGTGCAATGGAGGTCTGACTGATACCAAACAGGAGTGAATTGCAGTAATCAAGCCTAGATGTAATGATTGCATGTATTACTGTCTCCAGGTTATTTTTGGACAATATGGGCTTCAGTTTAGACAGCCGCCTCAGTTGGAAGAAACATGATTTAACGATCATGTTTACATGATTGTTAAGTTTCATAAATTCAGCATCAGAAATGCCATGTGGAAGAGGAGGAACAAGAGGAGCCATCATGGAAAGATAAACCCCTGCATGGCATGTACCACCAGCAGATTGAGGAAGTGATTGATATCAACAAATCCTACCAGTGGGTATGGCTGGACTGAAGGACAGCACAGAGGCGTTAATCATGGCAGAATAGAACAGGCCCTCAGCACAAGAGCACTAGAGGTCAGGGTCTACCATACAAGACAAGACCCAAGGTGCAGACTGTGCAAAGATGCCCAGAATGTAAGAAGCACATGTGCAACATCATGACTAACTGGCTGACAGTGCAAAGAATCATCAAGTATGGGCTGGAGGTCTCACAGTTAAAGTGGAAGACTCTACCAAGGATGGTGGAGAATGGAAGGGCTGTGGGACTTCCAGATCCAGACTGACAAACAGGTGATGACTAACCAACCAGACATTGTGGTGGTCGACAAGCAGGAGAAGGTGGCAGTGATGATAGATGTAGCAATCCCAAGTGACTTTACCATCAAGAAGAAGGAGCATGAGAAGCCAGAACCCAGTTGATCCCAAGAACAACCTCAGAGATCTCTGTCCAGAAGAGCACAGCCCTATAAGAGCAGCGAAGTTACTATGAACAACTCTCAAGATCCCAGGCCTCTGGTAGAGGACCAGAGCTTGGTAAAAGTGTTGTTTATATATATATTAAATACATTTTACTGAGACTGTCCTCATCTATTGTCAAGATGTTTTCCCCTGGTGTAATCTGCCCATAAAACAACTAGAAGAATTGTATTTCCTGCTAAAATGCAGAGTGAATGCTGATCGCTGGATGATTTTGCTGAAAGCTGCTTAAAAAAACAGAGTTTACATGAAAATAAGATAAGATAAGATAAGATATAACTATTGATCCCACGGGAAATTGTTGTGCCAGAGTTTCAGTACAAGGGAATATACACAAGGAATCACACAAGCTATAATAAATAACAGAGAATATAAAACATAACAGAGGATATAAAAATATCAACAATTAAGGTAAAACAGTTCAGGTGCAGACAGAAACATTAAAGTGTTTATTGTAGTACAGGATTAATTTTATTGTCCTATGTGTAGAAAAGGGGAGGAGATGAAAAGTTTGATAGCCACAGGGAGGAAGGACTTCCTGAGGTGTTCTGTGGAGCACCTCGGTGGTCTCGTCTCAGTCCACAAACTGAAGGTTAAGAGTAAATTCATCAATAGCTAAAAATTTAAAAGATGAAGCTGCAAGAAGAACAACAAGCAAAAAATAAATAAATAAATAAAACCCGAAAAATATAGAAAATGGTTGAAATTAGGCTAAAAACATTAAAATGTACTGTTTTTGGCACGTGTGTCAAATAATCATATGTTTAATCCCTCAGTAGCTGATGCAGTTTTAGGTCTGGAGGGGTGCATTCACTGTGTGATCTCTATGTTGATGGTAGATTTGCCTCGTTTGAACAGCTGGTACAGAAGTTTAATATTCACAAGTGACAGTTTTTTTTTAATATATTTGCAGCTGAGACATTTTGTGAGGTCTAACTCTGATTGTTCTCCTTTGTACCCCTCTAAACATTTTGTGGCTAAGATTTTGGAGTCTGATACCAAGGGGACCCTCAGCAAGATCTATACACTGCTCAGTTCACACCATGGTGTAGAGACAGGGCAGCCGACTCGGGACCCGAAAGTCCCTGGTTCGATCCCCAGTCATTGCACATATCGAGGTGTCTGAGCAGCACATCCTATCCCCAATCGCTCCCCAGGTGCTTTCAATAGCTGCTCACTGCACCACCTGGTGGTAGATGGGTTAAATGCAGCGAGAAAATTTTGCCATTGAATGGAAACATACAATTATGACAATACATAACACATTATTATTATTATTATGAGTCCAGTTTGGACTCACTTAAACTGAAATGGGAAGCAGACTTAGAAGAGCCCATATCAGACTCAATCTGAAAAAGGATCATTAAGAACATTTACTCATCTTCAATCTGCCTGAGACATGCTGTAATTCAACTCAAGGTAGTGCAGGTTGCACTGGTCCAAAGACAAGTTGTCCAAGATCAAGGTCGACCTGGACCCAGCATGTAATCATTGTAATGCATGGAATGCATGTAATCCAGCTACACTCCTGCATACATTCTGGACCTGTCCCAAACTGCAGACGTTTTGGCAATCTATCTTTGACACCTTCTCTGGAATATATGGCAAAACTGTACACCCATCAGCGTTCATCTCACTGTTCGGTGCAGTCCCTGTTGATACGTCCCTCAGCAGGAGTGAGAAGGATGTGATTGTCTTTGGTTCTCTTCTGGCCAGGATGATAATTTTGTGCAATTGGAAGGACCCACACACCCCAGCATATGTACATTGGTTAAGGGAGGTGATGTATCCTCATATCCACTTGGAAAAAATAAGACATAAACTGAAGCGCTCTGTAAAGATTTTGGGATGCGTGGCAGCCTTTTATGTTGTATGTTAAAAATATGTCTGTACCTGTTTCATTTGTAATGTATGTTTGACTGATCTGGTGTGGGAGGGAAGGGGTGGTGTGGGGGTTCTATGTTGTTCTTTGTTTATGTATGTTTAACATTAAAAAAAAAAACTAATAAAAACTGTTTAAAAAAATTAAAAAAAAACATTAAAATGTGCAGAAAAGCAGTAATTGCCCAAAACTAAAACTAAAAGTGTGAATAAAGCACAAAAGCTGGTAAACAGCAAATTATTATTATTATTAATAATAATAATAATAATAATAATAATAATAATAATAATAATAATAATAATAACAATAATAATAATAATAATAATAATAATAATAATAAATAATTAATTAAGAGCCAGAAGTGGGGAAATATTAGGAAATGGCAGGAAAAAACTAACTACAAACCATAGAGCAAAATGCTATTGAAAAGCAAGAAAAGGTTATCTCAGGAGGCATAAGCAGACAAATACTATCAAAAACAGGAAAATGCTAGCTAACAGCCAGAAGTAGTAAAATACTAGTAAAAAAAGAGCACGAAGTAAAAGAAATGGCTAGCTTAGAGCAAATCCAATTTAACCATAAAATCAATAGAGCATTGTTGACCCACATGGTGTCCAGCTGTGAAGTTTGACATATCATATATCTTTGTTTAACAGTGATCAAAAGTCACCCCCTTAAAGAGGTTTAACTTCTTTAAAGGGGTGACTTTTGATCTTGATTTATGACCTTGGTCTTTTACCCGTTGACCTTGAAATCAATAGACAAAAACTGAGGTGTCCAACTAAGAAGTTTGACATTTCTACAATAAATGGTTATGAGATTATAGCAATATAAAGAAAGGATTGCCCGTTGACCCTGATCTTTGAGTAGTCAAATAGTGTGAATGTTTACAGCATTAGTGATAAATAATAAAGTTCAGGTCAAAGTTCAAAAAGTTTTGTATTCAGCTTTATATTTCAAGACCCATTGTGTGTAATTTAAAACGTGTCTTCGTATGTTTAATCCCACAGCGATACTGCTCAACACTTGTTCCTAAATATAGCAAGTCACATAATTTTGTTTAAAATTTTTTTTTACTTTTTATTTTAACTTTATTGAACTACCGAACATACAGAACAAATGAACACTCTAACAGAATAACAAATGACAATCTCAAATTCCAACGATACATATAAACATGAAAAAATATTTACTGTCATACCTCCTAAGTTCAACATATTCTTAAACAAATTATCATCAACCATCATAAAATTAAATTATTATCAAAGAAATTGCAAATAATATGGTACAAGTAATTTAAAAAAGCACAGAACTATATATCATTCTACATAATTACTAAAATAATTTATCGGAGGTCTATATTATGTGAGCGAGGTGATCAGAGGTTGTTGCTTGTTTTTTAGCTCTGTCCAATGAAAGTTTTAATATCTGGAGTTCTTGTTTGAATACAGACCAATGGCTTAGACTTACATATCTGCATTTATATATATAGAATTTTAATATTATGATAATGTAATTAACAAAGTATTCATCTTTTTTATTTTCAGATACATATCCACATGAGACATTCTGAAGAGAGAAGGAGTCTTAATGGATTTGATGGTTAGAAGATCGTGAAGGGATTTTCATAATGTGTTCACAGAATGACAGAAATAAAACAGGTGTTCTGTTGTTTCAGGTTCGTTACATATAGAACAGTTATCACATTCAAATTAAATCTTTCACATAAACTCGTTTGAAGGGTAAATATTATTTAGAGTTTTGAAATGTAATTCTTTATATTTAGGTGGAAGAGGGAAACCCAGATATGTTGTCATTATTTTTATTCTTTCTTTATCGTAGAAATCATGAAACTCTTCTTACCTGACCAGAATATATTGTTTTTATTAAATGGTGTCTTAAAAATTGTTGTTGCATTTTTTGTGTATTAAATTTAGTCCATTGAGATTGATGCTCGGTAAACTAATTGTTGGTTTAGTTTCATAATTGTTCTTTATTAACTGAACAAATGCAATTGGGATATTTTTATTACTTTGTCATATTCTTTTTTGGTACAGATTTGATTATATATTTTTCATGAATTCTTCATAGACATACAGTCGGAGCCCCGGAGGGGACGTGGGGGATTTTTTTCTTTTGCGTTCCCTCGCAAAAGTTTTAGTTCCCTCACAATGCTGTTATGTACGTAGTGTGACCCAACATTTTTCAGTCAGGTCATCTGGACAGTTTCTTTTTTTGTACTGAAACGTTTCACCTTCGATCCAGAAGGCTTCATCAGTCAAGGAAACACACAACAAAACTGATTCTTCCCCCAACAGCTGACTCTAAAGTGGAACAAACCAGTTCTGCTTGTGATAAGATGGTCTCTTTGGTACGCCCCTCCTCCATTGCTGGCCCTCTTCCTTGTTGACAGTCTTATCAAACTGGTTGAAAACAACAAAGTCCATGCTCAATAATCCAGGTATACAATCCAACATTTTGTTAATGTTGGATAATGTTGGATTTTATACCTGGATTATTGAGCATGGACTTTGTTGTTATGTAGTGTTACGTCACAGACAACAGCAACAACGGAACAAACACCCGTATTTGAGGTTCAAGCAGGAGTTTGTGACTTGGTGCTATATAAATAAACTGAATTGAATTTTGAAATCAGCCTTAAATATAAGGATATCCAGTGTGTGCTGCAGTGGTCAAATTAATTTATGTTGGATATTTCATGTTCATGCTCCGTGGATTCAGCGGTGTCTTCCTCGTTCGAGCCGACGCAGACAGTCTGAGTTCAGTCTGTTCCTCCTCCGAGGAGCCATGGTTCTCTTAGGGACTGTCAATAAATTACCGTACTTTCAGAGTATTTGTTAAAGCAGCACCATGTATCATAACTAAAGGTTTCTCAGTATATTTCTGCATGGTAATAAATCATGAATTTTCCCACCATTTAAAATCAAAAAGAACAAGGTGACACTTATGTTTCAAAAGTACTGTAACTTTCTTTTAAAGCATCAAAGTTCAAGCTCAATCATCCAGGTACAAAATACGGTAATGGTCAGTCAGGTCATCTGGACAGTTTCTTTTATGTGGAAAGACGTTTGATCCGGAGGGCTTCATCAGACACCAGCAAAACCAGCAAACTGGTTGGTCCAGTAAAGGAGTGTACTGCTTAGTGGGGAACACAGTTTACTTGGACTCCTCAGACTGACGAAGCCCTATGGAAGCGTGTGCTTAGTGTGTTTTTAGTTCATGTTTTTCTTAGTTCATAACTTACGTCTTATTACTGTTTTTCTTTTACACACTTTTTAATACTTTTGTTGGATGTAACTGGGATCCTGTGTACACACTTTTGTTCCACCACATGCACCACATGTGGTGCGGATGACAAATAAAGAAATTTGAATCTTTGAATGAACTTTGATGCTTTAAAAGAAAGTTACAGTACTTTTGAAACGCATGATGAGAAAATTCATGATTTATTACCATGGAGAAATATACTATGATACATGGTGCTGCTTTGACAAATACTCTGGAAATATAACTAAAATATTATAACGGTGTTCAGACCGAGCTCATTAGAGCAGTAATTTGTTGACGGTCCCTAAGAGAACCACGGCTCCTCATCAGACTGTGTCCGTTCAAACGAAGACACCGCTGAATCCACGGAGCATGAACGTGAAATATCCAACGTAAAACTAATTTTACCACTGCAGCACACACTGGATATCCTTATATTTAAGGCTGATTTCAGAACAAACCTTCATTAAATCATGTCATCTGGACCAGTTTCTTTGAGGGAAGAATGTTTCATGTCTGTGAGGTACCAGTACTATTGCGAGGGAACGCAAAAGTAAAAAAAATAAAATAAAATAAAAATCCCCCACGTCCCCTCCGGGGCTCCGTAATATAGATTTCCCTTTTTATCCTGTTTTTTAAAATGAAACCCGCAACTTTCCAATGTTTATAGTTGCGATGACGTACTTGTTTGACCCGGAAGTGATAACAAGTCTTTCCTGCAACAAAACCGGCATGATGGCAGCTGACACGCAGGTTTGTGTGCTCGAATATTAAATCATAACCTAACCGCTCTGAGAACGAATATTAAGGATCGCAGAGACACAGTTTGCTATAAATGATGCCTAACATTCCCGAGCTGTTGGTTTCATCTGTTATTAACCGAGTACCGGGCAGGAATGACAGCAGCTAACCTGTTAGCCGGAATGCTAACGTGGAGCCCGAGCTGCTGACGACGGCCCCTCATGCCACCGACATCACCGCTTTCTGGACTCAGCAAAAACACTAGAACTCTTCTTTTTTGTTTTCTTTTAAGCTGATTTGTCTTTTAAGTTCTTGTGCTTGTAACTATTGTAAGAGTTTACAGCAAAGCCACTGGTGTGTTATTTAAGTCACGCCCTCCGCAAATGTCCAAGTCAGAGTTAACCTACAGGCCTTTCTCCACCAAATCCTTAATCTCAAGATACAGCATGTTGGTCAGTAACAAGACATGAACAGTTCTTTGGTT